TGGCAACTTCTGAGCATGCTCAGTAGCTTCTATAAAAGGCAGACCACTGAGACCAATACTTTCAAGTTCCACCAAACTAAAATCATATAAGAAAAATAATGGCAGTGGAACCAAATCCAGTAGAACCAAGACGTTCAATTGAGGGAGATTCTGCAAGATGCCCATCAGTTGCAAAATCCACTTTAGCAGCTTCACCAATGAGATTTAAAAAAGCTGGTATTACTAAATCTTCTACATGTAGATACAGAAACAGCGAGAGAAACAGGCCACCCTTGGCCTTGTTTCAAGGAGAAGGATACTTTTATTGTGAGGCTACTCTTATTACAAGGCAAGAAGAAACTGCTAATGAAAGAGTTGACAAATTAATAGGAAATATAGAAAACATTCTTCACCTAGTTCCAGAAGAGGAATGCAAATGTTTTGAAATCGGGATAGTTGGTGTTTCGGAAGTTTCAAAAATATCTTTTGATCCAATGAAACACAACACCTGGGATAAAACAGAATTGAGAAATTGTTGGGAAGGTTATAAAAATGAAAAGAAATATGATGCCTTGATTGTTCTTTCAGTTGTCACAAAGGAACAAGTTCCAGAGCATATCGACCAAAAAATTTATGCAGAAATGCTAAGGGATAGGCTAGTCATGCATTATACAATTGAAACTAATAATAGCTACATACAAATCGTGGACAAGACAAAAGAAGAAAACATGAAAACAGGTTATGCGCTGTATATGGCTATAAAACAAGAAAAGAAAAGGAAGCATGACGAAGATGATCAATCTTCAAATGCTACTGGAGCGAAAAAAACTAAAAATGAGTAAAATTAACATTACTTGTCAAATTACATGTACTGTAGTTAAAGTTGATTTGAACTATTGTTAAATTTATTTGCATACACTTTGTACATTTTGATTTAGTATACTTTTTGAGTTGATTTATTTGATTATTAAAAAAATTTAATTAATCAAGTGTGAAAATTACAATGACGAAAAGGCTTTTGCGTACAGAAAATAAAATCTATTTACAACAACCAGCAGCAACCGTCTGGTTACAATAACCTGTAATACATGTACAAGTACTGTAGTGCACATAATTATGCTACACAGCTTCACAATTTACTAGAAGATTACAATAAAGAAGTCATTCTAAATCTACATGAACAAATCTCTTAAGAGAGAAAGAGAGAGGTAGAGTGTTCTCAGCCATCATGTAAACAATAAAATAAAACTTACACAAAATAAAACTGACATAAATACATGTAAGCCTATTGTATATATTTACATGCAAATAGTACATTTTTACATTTTAATTGCAAGTTTACAACTTATTTGACTAAGATTAGCTGAACAACATTTTAGGCAGCATTAATCACACCATGCTTCCATAGTGTATAACAAAATGGTACATGTAGCTAATTTATTTTATAGCCATCATGCAGTTAAAAAGCTACCACGTAGGTAATATGCATTAGTTAAAGCACTTTTGAGAGTACAATAGGTTACGGAAATTATTGCACGAGGGGCGGTCAAGAGGAAAATGTAGCACGAGGCGAAGCCGAGTGCTACATTTTTGTCGGGACCGTCCCGAGTGCAATAATTTCCGTAATCTACGAATCAACAGTGCTTTGATTTGTTTGTAGTGGTGCGTGGGCGGATCAAATGAAATTTCAAAAGTCACACAGGTGGCCAGTGCAAGAAGATTAGATCTCATTTATCACTATTATTATTGTTACATGTCTAGTGTATGTAGCTGAGGCTTGTGGTTAACAAGAAAGCCCATACATATTATACTGTGCAGTACTATCAAGAGTAGATATTATCTACTCTTGGTACTATATATTCCACACAGTGCTACATTTTCCTACCATGTGGTTATTGGAAGTTATAGCACTGGCGGCGCCTTTGATCCGCCCATGCACCATACTACAAAGCAGCTATAACGAGGAAGTAGTTTTTATTACTAAAGCCATAAGAGGTGAATAACTGGGAGGTGCATTGGATGGTAGTGGTGGGCAATACTGTATTTTTTGGATTCGATACGATACTGAGTATTTTCATTCTGGTATCGATACTATTCGATATGATACTAACCACACCCTTTATTAATTAATTTCAATTAATTCACCACAAATAATGGATACAAACATGCTTAAAATTAATTAATTAAGGTGTGGTTAGAGGTGTGGCCTCAGTATCGATACTGCTGCTCTTAAATTTTCGATACCGATACTACTCGATACTGGCCCAGTATCGGTTGTATCGATACTATTTCGATAGTATCGCCCACCACTATTGAATGGCACTTGTAGTACTTGTAGTACATGTGGTTATCATAGGTAGCACACATTTTGGACACCTGCAGATATCCGGAGGACTACAGAATATTGAGTACACTATCATGGCTGTAGCAATGGATAGATCAATCAGTGAGACATCTAGTTCATCCACAGATGATGGGTGTAGTTGTGAGACAACTGCCTGTTATTTTAAGAAATTATGTTCATGTAAGAAAGCTGGTGTGTCATGCACAGATCATTGCTCATGTGGTGTAAAGAAACCTTGCAAGAATAATAAAGTAAGAGAGTCTTATTTGTCTTATTATTAGTTTATTATTACTGAAGCATAAAACAACTGCAGTGCCTAGGAAAAGAGCCATTGACAGGGCATCTAATAAGGGCTTGGCTGCTGAAACAAGTACAACTGTTTCAACCACTACACATGGTGGTTGTAGGTTTGAGGCGTTAATAAATGGAGGTCCAGACGGCAAAGGTGAACGCAACTATTGTTGCGATCCAAGTTGCTTGTTAGACCTTACAAAAGTAGCTACAACAAATAAAAGTGGGAAAACACTCAATAAAGAGGCAATAACAGATAGAAGAGTAAAAGAGCTTGTAAAACATGTGGATGATAAAATCTTAAGAGCATTGGAAATTGAGGGTAAAAAAGTTAAAAACTTTTACGTTGGAAAAACATTTGTAATTACATGGGAGGGAAGACGATTTAGCAAAATGAATCCTGACACATGGAGAAAAAAAGGGATAAGCAATAGATGGTCAACTAAATATAAAGACAAAGAGGGAGGCGGCTATGATGCATTAATAGTCATTTCAATTGTTACTAGAAATTTGATTCTGCGACCACGGCTTCAATATCAAGATCAAGAGGAATACGCTTTAAAGTTGGAACAAGAACTGATTCATTATTACAAAGAAGTAAAACGTGATCCTAGGATAAGAAATGAAGGATACATAGAAGGAAAAAAGACAGAGGGCAACCCACATATTGGATATCCATTGTATGTTGCTCTGCAATTTAAAAAATAAGAACATATTCTTGTAAAGACAAAACTAATTAAACTAGTACTTTTTAAATAATTGTTTCTTTAAAAAAATTTTTGTAAAATGAACTGCATGTCTAGCAATAAAGCAAAAAGAAGCCAAAAGCATTAATTACTATACATGTAAGTGCACATACATACATGTACATGTACACAAGATTTGTGGTATCCAGATTACCAGCTACATTTGTATATGTATACAATAGAATAGCTAAGCCTAAAAGCATGTAATATATGTACTGTACACATTTGCAATAATCATGCTAGTCCTGACATTACGTTGAGGCTAGAATAGGATTTGGTTCTATTCTAGTGTAAAGTATGTGCAAATCAATCACACTTTTGATTAAAAAATTGACGACATGCTAGTCTAGCGACACATTGTAAATCCATCCTAACAATACGAATGCTATTTGCACACATGTACATGTATTAATAAATTAATTGTGTGGGTGGAGTACCTGTTACAATAAAGCCTCCAGAACGTCTAAACTTCTACCAATTTGACTAATGACATCAACAATTGCCTCAAAGAATGCTATATGGAGCTCCCAATTACTATAATGGGTGTGGCAATTAATGGGCGTGGTTTCTTAGTAAATGGGTGTGGCTTACTTTGTCATTCAGAAATGTGATGATGTGTGATAGTATACCGTATAGCGGGTTTCTTCCATTCGGTCAAACTTTCGTTCTTTTCGTTCTCCAAGCTCCAAAAACAAAAATTAAACCCATGAAATTTGCTGTAGGAGAGCTTGATCCGGAGTTCATCTTCGTCGGGTTAACACTAACACATGCACACGTGGGTGTTATGGGTGGGGTTGTTGGGTGTGGCTTAATTCTTGCAGATCAGAAGGACGAAACTAAAACCCACGAAATTAGATTTCCCCCTAGAAAACAAAAGTTTGGCCGAATGAAAGAAACCCGCTATACGGTAACCTCTTTAGCTGCAGCGCTGGGGGGGGGATTAAAAGGTAAAATTTTTGTAGATTGTCATACTTATTTTTGAGTGATAGTCTTACCTTTTTGAGCTCCAAAGAAAGTCAATACCCGGTAATTTCCCAGCACTGTCGGTTAGGAATGCCCTTTTGACATTTGAATCCTAACATAATAATAATAATAATTTTGTCCATTATACATATTGTTATTACTACTATAAACTTGTCTATAATACATAAACATAGTTACTACATTTCTCACTCTAACTTAATTCTCAGCTCTCTCTCTCCCTTTCCTCTCCACTAGTATACATGTATACACTTACATTGTCACTGAGTAGATGGACTACAATTGATTGAAATGTTTCATGTAACTGATGCAATTAACTCATTATCATAAGTACCATATATCTGATGAAAGAAAACAAACAAACAAACAAACAAACAAATGGTACTTTTATTGATATTGTACACCTTATGGCTGCCTCAATATAACCTTAATAACTAGCCACACCCACACAATTAATTAAAATTAATACTAGTACCTGTATACATATATGCACATGTACCTGTGGAATAAGTCTCATTGACATCACAATAATACAATAATTATGATCTTAGCATTTATCGTGTGATTTTAATTCATTTTATTTTTTATAATGTACTGCATATGTGAAATAATTAATTTTTAAATAATCATAAATTATAATAATAATAAAATTCTATATATATTATTATATACACATACACACACAATAATAATAACAAAACTTTGAATGAAAATTAACGACGATTATTTCCAAAGTTTAATAATACCGTCACGAGAGGCGCTGATGATAAACTGTTGTGTTAAATTCTGTGGACTTTTATACGGAATGACAGCTAGCGAAGTGATACAGTCAACATGTGACATCACATGAGATTCCGTTGAATCGTCTCCGCCCGTTGACCCGCCCCCTCCTCCTCCTCTTGATGCTGTTTTTAACTCTCTCAAAACTTCGACTCCTTCAATGACTTGAGAACTAAAAAGTAGAATGTACAATTATAATTATATTAAAAAATAAGCAAATTATTATGAAAATGGAGAAGTATGTCCTAGTCATTTTTTGGCCAACGGCCATATTTTTGAGCAACTTTAAAAATTCGTAAAAAATCTAAATTCGATTGGAATCACCTCAAACTTTCTACACAACATAGGAACATGTATATGTATCAAAAAATGTTATAAAAATTGAGAATTCTCTACTTGCCATTTTTGGCAAAATTTGGCCAACGCCCCTGTACTTATAGTACAGGGACTTTGACCCAATTTTTGAGCAACTTAAAAAATTCGTTAAAAAATTAAATTAGATCGGAATCAGCTTAACCTTTCTACACAATATAAGAACATGTATACGCATCAGAAAATATTATGAAAACTAAGAATTCTCTCTTTTTCAATTTTGGCAAAATTTGGCCAATGCCCTTGCATTACATGTATATATAGTACAGGGACTTTTGTCAAGTTTCATGAAAAATCATTCTCGATTAAAATCAGCTCTACTTGCATACATGTACATGTATGTACAGTTTATGATGTACCTATAAGATATGTCAATTTTCTCAGATCCAACCCCAGCCTTCACTATACAGCTGGACTCCGAAGGATTATTAAGATGCCATAACCTGATGAACCTGTCAGTGCCACCAGTCAAGAGGACTGGGTCATTACCAACAACACAAGTATGCAGTGCTCGAACACTGTTGTGCTGCTGAGGCTGGAGAAGAAGAAAGAAAGAAAAAGGGAGAGAGAGAGAGAGAGAGAGAGAGAGAGAGAGAGAGAGAGAGAGAGAGAGAGAGAGAGAGAGAGAGAGAGAGAAAGAGAGAGAGAGAGAGAGAGAGAGAGAGAGAGAGAGAGAGAGAGAGAGAGAGAGAGAGAGAGAGAGATAAAGCTGCCATCTTACAAAACTTTTAATAATATCACTATTATTAAACAAGCAATACAGTATAACCTGCTATTGTGGACACTCTAAAATAAGGACACCTCTATAATGAGGACAGGTAGTATCAGTCCCAATACAATAGTAATGTGTATTAATGAACCTCTGAAATAAGGACAGGTTCATAATCAGGAGGGTATTATTGGGTCCCAAAGTGTCCGAAATAGACAGGTTTGACTGTACTTACGTTTTCAGTCATGGGACCAAACGGCTGTGTAGGACTAGCCCAGAGCATCTGTCTTCTAGTTGATGTCTCCATATCCCAGACTGATATCTCATTGTTACCACTGGCAGCTGATAGAACAGTCTGAAGCTGATTGGGATGAGAACTGAGCTGCTGTATACGATGAACATAAGCTGAGTGGAGAGGGGGAAGAGAGAGAGAGAGATAGAGAGAGAGAGAGAGAATTTGTCAATAGCTTTTTAATAGTCAATATCTGAATTTATTAGTAAAATTAGTTATAAATAGTTATTAAAATAGTTATTGATAGTTATTGGTAGTTATTAGTAATCATGAATATTTATTATCGTTCTTACGTCGTCCGTGTCCTTCATGTTTCCAGTTACATATTGGCAGCTGGAACCTCATGTCCCATACTATATGATATCCGAGACTGGTACCAAGTGCAATCCAGTTCTGGAACGGATCCAATGCCATGGACAGCATTAAACCTAAAAAGTAAAATAGAATGTATAATTAATTGTGAATAATAGTTACAAATTGGAGAAGATTGCATTCCAAAAAATGCATGTGAAAATAACTGCAATTGGTCCAGCTTTCTACATAACACAAAGTCTATAATACAACAATAACAAAAGTGTTCTATAAGTCCCTGTCATGATGCACTAAAAGCTTAAGAGTATCAATAATGCATTAAAAATGTAATAGATTTTTTGAAACCAATTCTAGGAAAAAACCACAAACTATAATAACAATAATTATTATATTATACTAATTAAAGCTGCTGCTTTCTTAACTAAACACTCTTTACCGTGTCTTGGGTCATTCTCAAGGTCCCATGCTAGATTAGGTGTCCTCAGATCAAGGCCACAGAGGTGACCTTTAGTTGTAACAAAAGCTAACACGTTCTGTCCCCCACAAGTCATCTCAGTCATCTCCACCACACTGCCATGAAGAGATGGGTCGAGCTCCCACCTGAGGACATCTTTAGCCTTTAGAGCCTTTTGTTTTGAATTAGGCTCACGATCAATACTAATAATAATAATAATAATAACAACAATAACCAATGCAATATTTACAATGATGTACATGTACACATAAAATAATAATAATAGTGATAATAATTACTTGAAAGCATGTATAGTTCCATTAGAAGATGCTGCCACTATGCTTTGATTACCCATACAATAGCAACCAGTCTTAATCTTACCACCTATTAATAAATAATAATAATAATTAAATAATAATTAAATAAATAATTAAATAAATATCTAGGAGAATGTACAAAAGGTAAGCCTTCAATTAGAAAGGATCATTCCTTTCCTCCCCCTCCCTCTCTCTCCCTCTCTCCCTTACCTTGCTGACTGTACACTAGTCTTGGTTTATTAATCACATGTAGTCCCTCCATTTTATTCACATCCCATATCTTAGTTGTACTGTCGTCGGAGAATGACACAAAATACGTACTATCAGGAATGACTTTTATCCTGAGAGAGAAAGAGAACATACATGTACATGTACATTATAATGCGTAATACATGTATGTATATGTATGAATTGTTGTGCTTTGTGCTTTTTTAAAAATATTATTACAGTAAAATTGTTTTATGATATTCTAAAGTCATTACTTGTTCACTGCTTGTAAGTGATCATGAATGTGAGCCACCAGCTGTCCTTTTGGAGCCCAACTACAATTAATAATAATAAAATAATTTAACCTCCACACCTCCCTCTTTCTCTCCGTACCTTGCTGGTGCCTGGTAGAATGGGTAATATAAATAGCCTTTATCCATTCCTTGCATATCTAACAACAACAACAACAACAACAACAACAACAATAATAATAATGATAATGAATACTAACCTTTCTTGTACAGCTCTTTCTTGTGATTCAGTAAACTTTGAAGGTTCTCCATGCAAGTTGTCTGCTCAACTTTAACAAACAAACAAACAAACAAACAAACAAAATAATTAAATAAATAAAAATGTAAATATACTATAAATACATATAAATACAAAAAATCAAACAAATAAATAAATCATGTAGATACTTACCTCTTACTAAAGAAGGAGGTTTATCAAAAACAACTCTGAGAGAGAGAGAGAGAGAGAGAGAGAGAGAGAGAGATGGAGGGAAATAAGTATTACAATACAGGTGCTAGTATTGTCCTGTACTTACACACTCCTACTCTCAGTTCCACTGTCTGACTTGGTCCTCCTGTGACCTCCTGAACTACCTTTCAACTCATCAATCTTCTCTGAGGAGTAAGTCAACTCACCTAGAAAGAGAGAGGGAGAGAGAGAGGGAGAAAGAGAGAGAGAGAGAGAGAGGGAGAGAGAGAGAGAGGGAGAGAGGGAGAGAGAGGGAGGATCAATCAATAACACACATTACTATTCCTACTTTGTTTCATTAATAAATTGTCTTTCGATTTCACCGAAAATGATTTCGATGCCACCTTGTGTTGCAGTGTAGGAGATAACTTGATTGAATCAGATGGCGGACTTGATACTTGAACAGAATCACTGAACATGAGACCCCAATCTTGATTCTACAAGAGAAGAAAACAGATAAAAACAGGCAATAAAAATCCATACTATACAATGTACATGTACTTACTAAATGTACATGTACTTACTAAATGTACTTGATGAGCACTTTTACTAACACTCTTTCTATAAAAATAAAAATTTAAATTAAATATTAATATTCATGTGTGGGCGGTACCTTTTGTTTGTGGGTGCGGTTGGCTGAGCTACAGGTTCGTATGTTAGTGTGACCGATTTTAATGAATGAAT